ACCCTCAGGCCTTGTTCACGGCATTGCAGCCATCACAGCCTATAGCAGCCTGCAACGGTGATCTTCAGTGCCGACCCCAGACCAGTGTCTAACACGTGGCCTCAACTGCATGTATATAAACATAGCCTAAGTGGGAACTTGTCAGGGCATGCCGCCCTGCACTGTGCTGTGCTGCCTTCTTCTCTCTCTCCTGTCTGTCTTCTGTTTCCATATGGACGACCTTCTCCTTCATACCTGTAGCCTGGATGCATCCAACACCGGGTACCCTGCAGGGGTACCACAACACGCCATGCACCTCTACTTGTATTTCTCTTCTCTGACACTCAGGATCACCTGCAGAGCCACTTGCAATATCCCGGCTCCATCCGGGGGTGATGTGGCACCCTCACATGACCAATTCCCACTTGTATATAAACTGAGCTGAAGCAGAACTGAAGAAGTAACCTTCTTCTCATTTTCTGCTTCAGGCAAGTACCCTAACCTAGTTTAGCCCTTCATCTTAATAACAATACATTTTCTGCTTCAGCCTAAGAAGCCACAGAGGGACATGAGCCCGAGGGAGGGCTATCCGCTGTAGGAGAAATAATATTCAGAGAATAAAACAATGATCTATCAGAATAGTCAACAATCAGGTGACAAGTTCAGATGTTTAACAGTCTCATGATCTTTATGAGACTGGAAAGACATTAGAAGATCATTATAAATTATCCACACCCATGTAGCATGAGATTTAATCTACTACAAGCATGCCTAGAACCTGGCATAGGTGTAATATTCAAAGAATATGTCCCTACAACAAGGAAATAGCACATAGACGGCAGAATAAGAAGGAACATTGGGAAAGAAATGTGAATATCTCGGGAACCAGTAAACTTTTGACTGTAATCTTTTGACCATCTAAAAGGACTGTTTCTAAACTTTATCCACGGTTTTGTTTCATTCCAAAAGCTTCAAAACTGACGGAGATATCGCTGAAACGGTGAAACACCTTATAATTCATATATATTTATTTGTTAATTCTTACAAAAGGTAATGTGACTCAAGGGAAATATATTGGCGCCCGAAAGTCTGGCGGACCAAATACCATATAACAGAGTATTTCCTGGTGCGGGCGGACAGTTTTCGATCGCATCAGAAGAGGAGAAAATGCTAAAAAACCGGATCTTGTATATTTTCCCATGATTCATCAAAGCTTTTTGATTTTAAGCTCAAATAAATCGGAAAAAAGAAATGATTGATGATCTGGATCTCGGATAATAAGCATGAAGTGATTCAAAAGTCCGCGGATCAGTTAATTAATTGGGAAAGCTCTAGAACATTAGTAATGATGCGGCTTCACAAAAAGGGGTCAATTAGAGAACAGTCTAGAAAGTTCCTTTATAGCCGAGTCATTTCTAAAGATAACCGTTCGTAATTAAGGCGGTGTAGAGCATAGCTTTAGCGCTACAAGACCCCGCTAAGATCGGCCCAAAAGACAAATAACTGAATTACTTATTGCTGAGTCATGTCCTAAGTCCATTATTAAGCTTACACAGCCCAAGCCCCTATATCAATCTAGAACTATATATAATACAAATGTAGCACATGTAACTAGTGCGAGGCGTGGGAGTAGAGAGGCCTCTGAAAAGCATAAAAGGCCGCCACTTTTGCCCCCTCTCAAACCTCAGGTAGAAATATAAGTTTAATTCTTCTCACCAGTGGTTGGTTCATTTGCTCCAAAAGATAAAAGCAAATATTAGTTGTTAGCTAATATAAAACTAACACGTCACTCTAAGCGTGAGTTAGGGTCAGTTAGACACAGCTGAACAAAAGTGTCATAGTGAGAATTAGTGAGAATTTGGTGGATGTCAGAGACCGGGTTGAGACGAGGGAATGTCTCTATGGTGGAGGGCTTCAGCCTCAGCGACTTATGCCAGGAGCGCTGTGCCAAGTAACATGTCCGTGCCCTAACTTACTAACTGGCAACCAGAACTGAAGGGGGTAAACTCTAGTCGATTTTATTACTGAGGTGTAACCTATGTACAAGTTGAGTATATATATAGTTACAACGAGGGCAGGTCCACAAATGGCAGAGCTGAGCGGAGCAGAGCTAACGGGGTTAGACATTAGCCGATTGAATATTACCGACAAGTCGGGTTACAGGGTTAATGGAAAGGCAGGCAATAACCCAGAAACGGAAAGGAGGGATAGGCCTGAAGGTGGGCTCTGCAGGGCAAGCGAGTGTATTGCCCAGCGGAGGCAGGAGTGCGCTAGTGGACGTCGGAGCTGTCTGGAAGCCTTTGGGGCTCCATACTTAGGGAGGCGTAGGTAATAAATTGAAAGGAGGGGGTGGTGACCATTGAGGGGTACTGAGGGGATTGCGGAATATGGGAGCTCCGAGGTTAGTGAAGAAGGAGCGGAGGTAGATTGGAGGGATCGGAGGGATCAGAAGTTGATGGCCGGGGATGGATATGACAGTGGAGGGACTTCTTAATTGAATAATCTCTCAGTAATATTTGGTTATCACACCACAGGAGAAAAGTGAGCGATCCTGAACCTGCTAGATAACTAGCACGCACTCTAAGCGATAGAAAGAGCAGTTTGGTCACTCTTGTATTGAGTAACATTTATTGCAGAATTATTTTATTCATAGTTTTCCTTCAGTAAATTATCAGGAAAATCATGTCCTACTGAAAAGTGGTATATCTAGGTGTAATATTGACTAGAAATCATAGTAAAGTCAATATAGAATTTTATCTGTAGACTATCTATACATCAGGTGAGATTGTTGGGGGGTGTTTATTGTTGATTAGACAGTGAACAATTATATATTTGGCAACCAAAACATGGTCAGTACGTGTCAGGGCATACACCCTGACCTAGCCCATACCCACATCCACACCCGCACTCGCACCCGCACCCACAACCACACCCGGCTGTTGCACTTCCCATGCGCGCCCTGTGCTGGACACTCAGTGTGGCCAGATGGCCCGGACCTTGGGTCTCAGGTCTCATGTGACTTCCGGATATCTCCGGAAGTTTTCAATCTATTGTGGCCACTGTGGGAAGATGAGAAGTTAACTTCCTTCTCATCTCTGACCCACAGTAGGATTGTGCCCTGGATAGGGCTGGCCAGACTTGAGGCTGTGGGCCATAGGGGAGGGTCATGGGGACCTGGGAGTCGTCCCCTGACAGTACGCAAATCAGCACAAACTCTAATATTGTTATTGGACGTAGGAAACTGGTTACATAAGGTGATCCAGCTCCGCTCCTTCACTGCTATACCGCCCCGCTACTCCGCTACCACCCAAGCCACTAGCACCAGGTGCCACGCCGCCACCCCTACCTCTCCTGCACTGTCCCTGACAGCAGAAGAAGGTTTCAACCTAATCTCCCCTGCCTCCTCCAGCATGGTAACCGAAGAGCAGTACCAGGACCTCCTGGCCAGGTTCCAGGAACTCCAGGCCATCCTCAAGAGCCAAATCCAAAACCCACTGCCCCTGCCTGCACCCACACCCACGGCTGCACCTGAGCCTAAAGCACCCAAGGTCACCCCCCTATTGCCTTCGCCAGTGCAAGTGAAGACCTTGACCGCTTTAAGGCAGAATGTGGGATCTACTTCCACGTTCATGCAGCAGAGCCCCCTGACACCCTATCTGTCAGGGACTGGTCCGGGGTCGAGAGCGTTGTAGGCAGGATAATCACCCACGCACAGAGCCGGCTCAGATACCTGCTTCCAACATTCAGAAACCACTTCCATTCATGCGACAACTCGATACGAATTTGGTACCTAAAATTAGTCCTAATTCGTACGATTCTGACGATACCAAGAACGTCCCAATCGGTGGAGATTTGACAGAGTTCTATGTTGGGCATGTTAGGCATGGCAGGTCACAAGTATGTGCAGGCATGGGAATCTCAAGCGGCAACCCAGAATTCCAGCCTCACTCGTTCCCACGGCGTCTAATAAATTGGTAAAAATGCTCATTGGCTGTGTGAGAGTTATCTCCGGCTTCATTTCCAATTTTGGCCTTTAATTCCGTGAATCCGTTGAGAAATCGCTTATTTTATATTTTCATATTTTTGCATCATTTCAGTTATTGATTGATATTCTTTTATTGTTACTGTTACCCTTTTTTATTATTTCGCCTAATAAGGTACCCAGGTGCCATATGGCACCAATATTTGCCATCTATTCTTTCTAAAAATAATTATTAGATATAATCCTGTACATACCGGATTTTGAAAAGAAGTTCTCCCCTCCCCCAAAATTCTCTAAGGTGCTAGGACATGCTAGAGTGGGTGTGAGTGAGTGGATTCCAACAGTAGGAATAAGGGCAGTGATCTAGCTCAGAGTGAGTAGTGGACACTGAGCCCGGACCTTGCGGAAATCCTGGGGAACCCACCATGGAGTTAAGGATTGAGCATAGCGAGTTTAGTGGAGAAAGTAGAGTTTAGGGAGAGTTGTCCCCCACGAGCTGTGTCAGCATAGAGAGCTGCGAGCCCTCTTTCAGCGTCTGGGTATATCACCTGGTGCTGAGGGCCTGAGTGTCAGGGCACACCCACCTGACCCTGTGCCACACCCCACACCATACTGCCCTACTCTGCTCCCCCACTATCACCCCCCATCCCTCCTTTCCCCTTTTCCCCTTTTCTCTCTATTTCTATTCTATGGTTGATTTCCCTTTTCTCCATGTACCACTACATACCTAACCCCACTCCCCTGATCACCACATGCACTCCCACCTGCTGAGCAGCCACCTCCGGGATCTCCTGTGGAGACACCCAGGGAGGTGCAGCTGTGTGCGGAGATGATGTGGCTTCCTCCACATGACCCTAACCGCATGTATATAATAGCGCCTGGGGTGGGAACAGAAGAAGCAGCCTTCTTCTCAACTTCCCACTTCAGACTAAGTGGTCAGGGACGCTCACCCCACAACAGGACTGCCGCTACGCACAGCCGCTACTCGTCCCATCGACCTCGCCGCCCTTGGAGCTGTCCCTGACAGTGCCTGTCTGACTCACATTCCACGGCCAAGGTCACAGCTCTGAAGGTTAGATGTAGGAGGTACTACAGTGGTCCCATCAAGAGTATCGGACTCAGCTTCTTCAGCACAAGTCCGTGCAGTTTGTAAGCCACCGTTGACTTCAACCCCATCAGGCACATGACCAGCCACAGATTCAAACACCTCCTCCACTGTCACATCAGCATCATCTTCTGGGGTATCTGTGAACCCCTCATGTATGACAGGACCAGAACATGGGTGGATGCCGCTGATGTCGCAGGGTCGCTTTCGCGGTGCCATGATTGCTCTTGCAAGATCAGGAATGGTTTGGTGAAGCTCATCAAGAACTTGGCATAGTGGGCGGCTTGATAGGCTGGGGTGGGATAGGTTAAAGTTACCTGAATGGCATAGCTCAAAGGCCTAGGTATAGTTAGCATTGTCATGTAGAAGCATCAATTTGTTTTAACTTACTTTCTGAATTCTGTCCTGTTGATTTATAGTGTGGAACGTATGAACCAACATCTCAGGGACATGGTCCCTTAGTATGCCAAGTCTGGTATCGAGTTTTATATCACTTGAGTGGATCCCATTTTTCAACTGCAAGGAAACCTCCTTTATGGCTGTGGATTGCTGACACCGTTTCACAGCTTGTTTCAATGGACGCTGGATACCCACATCGCAGGGCTGCCAGAGACCTGTACAACTGCCAGGAACGTTGTAACGGGTCTATTGCCTAGACTCGAGACAGAGAGAAGGGGGAGGGTGGTAGTGTGCGCAGGTGTGGTTCGTTGGACCGGGTTTTGGTCCGTGGGCGCTACTGAGTCTGCAAAAACCTCAAACAAACACTCACCTATGTCTCTCTTGGACATCAAGGCTGAGTATTATGATGAGAGGGGTCTTAGACGTGAGCAACAATCTCAAGGGGGGCGTTAGGGTCGTGGATGGCATCTTTGCCACTTGGATGCAACTTCTGCTTGTCCCTTCACGGGTCTATTCAATACTAACTTGTTATGTACAAGCTGTTATCTAGTTTTTATATGTTTGAAATGAAATGAATGGACTGGGGGAATGTAAACGGGCCGTTAGGCAACCGTAAATGATGAATATCCAATTGGGAACAAAGAAACAATAAAAGAAATATGAATGAATGGGGAATATATCATAACGGGTCCGAAATGGGAAATGTAAAAGTTAACTCCGCAACACTTCGCCACAGCGCCCGCCTATCCTCCCGTCAGCAACCTCCTCGTCTCCAGCTTTCCAACGAGCCCTTATTCGTCCCATTTGGTGCAGTAGTTCTTGAGATGTGGCCATTGACAGGTGCTGTCAAGACCACGTGAGACTCTACTCCATGCTGAACCATCCGGGTATGGGATTGCCATTCTGGGAAATGCTCCGGGGGTGAAGAAGGATGGTAGAGCATCACTATCGGGTAGAAAAACGGCTGGGTTGTATGTGTGGGTATGGAGGTCTGGAGAGGGGGTGAAATTGGCGGCGTGGTTGGGCGTGGGAATTTTGCTTGGGGTTGTCGGGAATGATGGGGAAAATATGGAAAAATATGGAATGAGTGTAAGGAGTGTTGGATAGTGATAGAATGAGCATCGGGAGCATCAGTGGATATGTAGTGCATGCTAGTGACCAAATTCCGCAGAATCCGACTTTTTGCGGTACACGGAGTTGTCCCCACAACAACGTAATCAAGTATTATCCAAGGATAGTTATCATAAATCCAGACACGAAACTCGAGGGATGCATGAACCGGCCACACATCCAGTTGCCACACACACTCTTGCAGTGGATCGAGAGAAAGCTGTGACTTTTTAGCATTGAAATAAGGGACCAGGATGTGTGTTACGAATGACTTCACAGTCATGATGTTTGCCCAGTATGTGTCACTTCCAGAGACCTCGAAGATGAAGCCAAGTCTCATTGCTTCCTCATAACTTGGGACACTCTTTGACGGAAAACTCATGGAGGTCTTGCCACGGAAGATGGCCTGGAATGGAAGGAGAACTCCACTAGCAGAGATTGTGACATTAAGAGTGAACGCGTGCTTTTCATCATGGCCAACAGCAGAGACCTGGCATGATCCCTTCTGTTCATATGTGGATGCTGAGTTCTGTTGATAGATGACTTGCATCTGATCTGAATTCATGTGGAGACTGCTGGGGATTGCATAATGGCAGATAGAGTAAGCTTGATGAAGCAGTGAAGCATGAATTTTCTCATCAGCATCAGCAGGTATTTTTTGTGTGGCACATGTCGCATGTTGCAAGGTCCGATTCATTTCCCCTTGGAGAAACTTTCAAACCCAAGACATGCTTGCTGCAAACACACTCCCATCTTCGTTGACAACAGTTCTTAGGATGGTAGGTTGGGTGTGTTGAATTTGGGCGATGATGATGCCTCAGATTTGGTGAGCATCTAATGCAGCACCAGTCCGTTGAATGCTCAGTAGCGTCTGTTTAATTGTGGCAATAGTGTCTGGGTAGGACACCTGTCCCAATCATCTCTTAAGCTTTCAGGATAGCTCCAACCATTCTTGACTCACCAATATCCCTCACTGTGTAACCTCTCCTCCTGGACAGTTCTCTTTCGCAACCTTTGCCAATGTTTCCTCAGACCAGCATGGATGTGTCCCAGTACGGTCAATCCACTTGTGAACAACATCTGCATGCAACAAGCGAAAGAGCTTTGGGCTCCTTGTTTGGCACCCCTTCACTATTTCAGTGGGACTCATGTTCCAGTCAATAGTTGCCACCACTTCAGTTATTATTGTCCAGAAAACAGGTTGGAACCAGTTTGTTGCCTTAGCAAATCAGTGCACCCTCTGCCTAGGAGGCCGGACCACATTATTTGGGTGGTGAGTGATTTTTGCTGTTTTTGTTCCCTCAACCATTGCTCAATGCGACGCTTTGGCCTTGATATCTCTGCAATTTGGGCTGAGTGTCTTGAAATCCTGGTACTTGGGTCCACATTAAGCAAGCGCTAGAAATTTATCAGCAGCCATCACAATCCTGGTGAATCAACATCACCTTTTTCTTTGTGTTGTTACTGGCCACTGCCAAGCTTGCTTGGTGATGCTGCTGTCTTTCCCGGGCCAATGCTCGACTTCTCTCCAACTTCACTTCTGCTGCTAGCTCTTTGGCTGCCCTCACTTCTTGATATCTCTTGGAAATTTTCTCAAATTCAACCAGTGATTGCTTCTTAAATTCCTTGTGGCTGGTTCAGCTGAAGAACTGGAGCAACCCATGCCCCTCATCCCCTTTTGGGACCGTGAGGTCCAATTTTGTTCTCTTCCTTTTTGATTCCCTGACATCAGAATTTTGCAGGGATCCTGTCGAGGTGTTATTTTCCTGGGTTACTGTTATTAGTTCCCGAGTTTCCACCACTGGGACAGCCACCAATGATGAGAATGCCATTGGTGCTGGCTCTGCTGTTGCTTGAGCCAACATTGTTGCTGCTGAGGTTGGTACTACTGGGGCAACTGTCATTTCCAGGGTGGTTGCTTTGGGAATAGGTGCACTCTAGTCACAGGCTGGTGAGATTCCATTCCATTCTCTTGGCTATGTGTGTTCACTTACATGTGTAGCATGGTGGTTAAGGATTGAGGTCAGCAATCTAATGCGCAACATTGCAGTATCGATGCAGTCACAGAGTGAGTATTTAGTCAGGTTGAGATGATGCATCAGTGCATTGAGGGTGAAGAAGCCACATGAAGAGAGGTCAGTTTGGTAAGCAATAGGCAGCCATGTGATCTGGAATGGAGACACTGATTTGTTCAATTCCAAGTATGATGCATCAAGCCACCACTGAAGGGCACAAATCGCTTCAGTGGCTGGAACTGATGTCTTGTCATCTCTAGTTAGTGCATGTAAGGAATCTGCAAGGTAAATGGTTGATTCCATGGGGGAGATGAGGAATGCAACCCAGTGGTTATTGTTAACATGCAAATTCCACCAAACTAAGTCACAGATCCAGATGACAGCTCAGAGCCAAATTGACAGAGATTTTTGCAGGTACGATCATGCCGATACCTTTCGAGGCCATTTCCATCTGGTTGTGTGAAACACCCAGTCAGGTACTGAACATCAATGGGGCTCAAGAGCCTAGTGCTTATTCCACTTGCCATCAAGTCCCTTTCCAGAAGTTCGATGTGATATGAGTGAGAACCCAAGGACTTTTGTGTTCCACTCGCACAATAGCAGCTGCTTTTGGGCTCTCTTTATAGCAGTGCGGTGAGTAGGGTAATTGCTTGCCAATTCCTTGACTTGTCTTTCCACATTTTCTGGACATTCCTGACCTGAAACAGGACTTCCCAGATTCGGAGGATGCAGATTGGGACATAATGGATGCCAATCTTGACTGAACAAGGAGGGTTGTCATGGTCAGGATCATACTCAGAGATAAGTTTCATTATGGTGGGGAGGGATGGACTGGGGATGTTGTGGAGGTTGCTTTTGGCTAACTCTGTGATGGAGGGTGGGTGATGACTGAGACATGTGGATATTGTTTGTAAGTTTGTCTGGATAGTTGGGAGCTTAAACCAGAGAAATTCAGCAACACACAGGGTTACCTCAGGAAAGTATGGCCCGATAAGAGCACTTGGGATGCCACTATACAAGATGGGCTCATCTGTGCAAGAACAAATACATTTTGCAAAAGCAAAAGCATCCATAAGTGAATTCCCAGCTCAAAGAAAATTTTTGTGAAGATGGCAAGCATATTTTCAAATTAATTACATTAAAGCTAAACATGACCATCGACTACTAAATGTGACCACAAGCACACTGCTTTCTATCTGAGTCACGCCCCCAACCGGTTGGGTGTCACGCATCAAAATGAGGTGCCAGTTCATCATTTTGTGTCATGCTTGGGACCCTGCTGGTTGTTGGTCATGCACGTACAGTATGTGCATGAAAGAATGAAAGAGCACTGTTTTGTAGTGCAAGGGTTTATCCCTGCAACAATGGCAGTGGGTCCGGTGCAGGCAGATGTCCCTGAAGTGGGAATGGTGTTAATTATCATTAGAAGGAAAACTAGACTACTTACCTGAAGTGGGAATGGTGAGATGAAGACTGCTTCTCTGGTTCCCACCCCAGGTATGTTTATATACAGGGCACTTGGGTCACATGGGGATTGCCACATCATCCTCATGCACAGCCCCAGCCATCCGGGTATCCCTGTGGGGGATCCTGAAGAGATCTGCTGCAGGTGCATGTGCTGGGTGCACCCAGGGGTCATCCAGAGCATCTGGGGCTGGGTGTGTCATGCATGGACTGTGGACGGGTCAATGGTACATCGATCAAGGAAAGTTGTCCATGTAAACAGAAATAGAAAGAATAAAGAATGATACAGAGGAAGAATGGAAAGAGGGGGAAGTAGAAGGAGGAGGAAATAGGAAGGGGGAGAAGGGGATAGTGGGTGGGGTGGGTGTGCCCTGACACTATCCCAGATCCTCTTTGTCCTATCGTACATGAAAGGAGGAGCCATGGGAGCATGGGCAACACAGTGCATGATCG